TCATCATCATCATCATCATCATCATCGTCGTCGTCGTCGTCGTCGTCGTCGTCATCGTCATCATCATCATCATCATCATCATCATCATCATCATCATCATCATCATCATCATCATCATCATCATCATCATCATCATCATCATCATCATATGTGAGTTCATGAGCGTGTGAGTGAGTGAGTGCTGAAGAGTCAGTGAGTGAGTGAGTGAGTGAGTGAGTGAGTGAGTGAGCTAGTGAGTGAGTGAGTGAGTGAGCGCACGAAGACAGAAGAGGAGAGGGGGTGAGGTGAGGAGGTTCCTGCGCGGGTGTGCAGAGAAAACAAGAACCCCACTTTGGATGTGGGGAACAAATGACGCTACCGAGGAACCCCACATACTTATATTATGTCCGGTATGATGATAGCTGACGTGTAACTTGCGAGAACGATGCAGGTGGCCGTTGCTTCACAGATCCCCTTGGTGGTGCCTGTCAAGCCTTGGGAGCCTGTGTACCCTGAGGGGGTCCACAGGCCCTGGGACACCGACCCCCCGGAGCACCCTCCATGGCGTCGAGAAAATGCTAGGGCTCCCAACTTCGCGCTTCGCGCTGCGCGAAGCGCGAAGCGCGAATAACTTCGCGCTCTCGCGCCGCCCTCCCAAAGGGAGAATAGGAGGACGAGGAGGAGGGGGAGAAGGAACGAGGACCGCGAAGCGCGAAGCGCGAATAACTTCGCGCCCTCGAGGGAGCCCTTGGCTATGGCGTCGAGAAAATGCCACGCCTGCTGTGCCCTCGACGACCGCCGCGCATGCCGGCCGCGGCGAAAGACCACCCCCTGCGCACCCCGTGTGGTGTCGAGAGGGTGCCGCGCCTGCTACGCCCTGGAAGACCAGCGCGCGTGGCGGCCGCCGTGATCCATGCCCTGAGGCATCCTCGTACGGCAGGTTCGTGTCGTGCCGACCCCAGCGTTGGTTTTTGACACCGCGCTGGATCGTTCAACCTTGAACGATCGGCCGCTGCCGCAACGTCCGATCGTTCAACATCGATCGATTCTGGGTCGCCGGCGGCGTTCAACCTTGAACGCCCGCGCTGGGGTCGCCGCTGGTCGACACGACGCAAACCTACCGTAGCCTAGTTGTCGCCTGAGGCACCTGTGCATACTGCATAACACGCGTGCTAGGCCCTGCGACCATGGCGCGTATAGAGACCGCGGTGATGAACCACCCCCTGCACACACCCCTGGCGTCGAGGAAAGTGCCACGCCTGCTGGGCCCTGCGACGTTGGCGCGTATAGAGACCGCGGTGAGGGACCACCCCCTTGCGCACCCCCTTCTGATGTCGAGAAAGTGCCACGCCTGCTATGCCCTGCGACACTGGCGCGTATAGAGACCGCGGTGAAAGACCATCCCGTGCGCACCCCGTATGGCGTCGAGAAAGTGCGACGACTGCTAGGCCTTGCGGCATTGGCGCGTATAGAAACCGCAATGAGAGACCACCCCCTGCGCACCCCCTGTGACGTCGAGGAAGTGCCACGCCTGCTCGGCCCTGCGGCGTTGGCGCATATAGAGACCGTGGTGAGAGACCACCCCTGCGCCCCCCCTTTGAAGTCGAGGAAGTGCCACGCCTGCTAGGCCCTGCGACATTAGCGCGTATAGAGACCGCGGAGAGAGACCACCCCCTGCGCCCCCCCTCTGACGCCTGGCGTCGTGAAAGTGCCACGCCTGCTAGGCCCTGCGACATTGGCGCGTATAGAGACCGCGGTGATGAACCACCCCCTGCGCACCCCCTTCTGGTGTCGAGAGTGCCACGCCTGCCACGCCCCGCGACCCTGGGGATAGAGACTGCAGTGAGGGACCACCCCCTGCGCACCCCCCTCTGGTGTGGAGGAACCACGTGCCGTGCATGCGTTGCGCTCGGGCGAAGCGAGGGAGAGGAGAGGAAGAGGAGGAGGGGAAGAGGGAGGTGTGTTTGGGAGGAGACGCGGATGCGACGCGGGTGGGAAGAAAACCATCACCCCACTGAATGTGTGGGAAATTACGCCACCGAGGAACCCCACATACTTATATCATGGCTGGGGCGATGATAGCTGAAGTGAAGCATGTGAGAATGATGTTGGAAGCCGTTCCCTGCGCACCCCCTATGGTGTCGAGCAAATGCCACGCCTGCTATGCCCTGCGCCATGGCCCGCATAGACGCCGCGTTCGAGGACCACCCCCAGCGCACCCCCTATGGTGTCGAGAAAGCACCACGCCTGCTATGCCCTGCGCCATGGCCCGCATAGACGCCGCGCTCGGGGACCACCCCCTGCGCACCCCCTGTGGTGTCGAGAAAGGGCCACGCCTGCTATGCCCTGCGCCATGGCCCGCATAGACGCCGCGCTCGGGGACCACCCCCAGCGCACCCCCTATGGTTTCGAGAAAGCGCCACGCCTGCTATGTCATGTGCCATGGCCCGCATAGACGCAGCGCTCGGGGACCACCTCCTGCGCACCCCCTATGGTGTCGAGAAAGGGCCACGCCTGCTATGCCCTGCACTATGGCCCGCATAGACGCCTCGCTTGAGGACCACCCCCAGCGCACCCCCTATGGTGTCGAGAAAGCACCACGCCTGCTATGCCCTGCGCCATGGCCCGCATAGACGCCGCGCTCGGGGACCACCCCCTGCGCACCCCCCTATGGTGTCGAGAAAGTGCCACGCCTGCTATGCCCTGCGCCATGGCCCATGTGTGCGGCCGTATCGGGACGTGTACCTCATGTGTGTGCCCAGTATGTACGCATACATCGTGTGTGTGTGTGTGTTGTGTGTGTGTCTGTGTGTGCGTGAGGAGAGGGAGAAGGAGAGGGAGGGGGGTGGAAGACGCGGCTGCGACGCGGCAGAGAAGAAAGCCATAACCCCACGAAACATGTGGGGAAAACCAGAATTTCAGTTTTCGTTGAAGGGCTTCCCCCTGGGAGCTCGGGCTAGCCGAGCTCCCTGACAAAAAAACATGAAAAAAAACCCGAGCTGTGTCTTTTTGTTGTCTCTGGCCTCTCTCCCCCTCGGAGCCCCGAGGAACGTCCGTGCTGGCAGGGCGGTCGGGTGCTGTTCGGTGAAATGTCGGTGGAAGAAGAAGAAGAAGAAGAACAAGAAGAAGAACAAGAAGAAGAAAAAGAAGAAGAAGAAGAATAATAGTCCTGGCTCCGAAGAGGCCCCCCGGGGGGGCCAGGACGCCGACAAAGCATCTCTAGCATCAGCCTTCGACGAATCGCTCAAAAGCTCTGCGTGTGACGCCCACTCAGTGCGGTTCTCCGCTGTCTTTCTGTGCGGGGCCCTGGACCCCCCCCCTGAAAAGCACTAGAAACACCCTCGAAAGACGGGGGGGGCCGGGGTCTGGGCTTCCCGCCCCGGAGCCTGGGCAGTCGCCCGAGGCCCCGCGAAGAACGACCGAACTGTTCTCGCGGTGTTTCGACGGATTGGGGGGGTCGAAGATGATATTGTTTAGAACTGTGGGGAAACCCTACACACACAAAAAAACGATTTCGTTTGAGTTTTCGGGGGGGGGTCCGCCCTGGAGCCTTGGCTGGCTGGAGAATCCCCGAAAACCGCCCGAGCAAAGTCCGAGTCGGAGAGGTTTCCGATGGGTTTTTTCGGGGGGTCTGAAAGAAATGTGTTGAATTGTGGGCCCCTCCGAAAAGCACATGAAAAACCTCCGAATTGGATTTTGTTCATGAGTTTTCCCCCCTGGGTGCTGGGCTGGCTGGAAACCTCCAAAAAACCGGAATTGCAAGATTTTCTGAAGGTCATAGGGGGGGGCAGAAGTGATATTGTTTTCAAGTGTGGGGCCCCGGAACCCATAGAAAAACACACTAAAAACCTCCGAGTTGGGTTTTTTGGGGGGTGGGGTCCCCCCTAGAGCTTAGGCTGGTTGGAGAAGCCCGGAAGAACCAACGAAAAAACCTCGAGTTGGGTTTCCATTTCTTGCTTGTTTCGGAGGGGTTCTGGCGGGGTGGGGCGGGGTCCGAAATATGTTAGATTTTAAGTGTGGCCCGGCAAAAACCCAAGCCCCCCACGAGGTTGAAGGTTTTTCGATGAGTTTTCGGGTGGGTTTTGGTGTGGGGTCCACACATAATATTGTTTGTAATGGAGGGACCCTGGGCCTCCCCAAGCAAAAATCATAAACAGCCCGAGTTTGGGGCTCGGAAGGACACAGGAACAAAAACATAAGAGAAAGACGGGGACAAACCCGACCCCTCCCCCCGACGAAAAGTCCCAATGGGGGGGCTGTCGGGAGGCTCGGCGAACTGCCACACCCTACTCCAGATTTCGTAATAGAAGGGAGGGGGTCTGGACCCTCCAAGACAAGCCATTTCAGACCTCCCCCGTGGGATAACCCTCCGAAACATCGTCCCCAGACCCCCCAGGCCCTCCAAGATAGCCTGGAAGAGACCCCCCCCCCGAAATGAGACCCCCCTCCCTTTATTACGAAATCTGGAGTATGTTCGGCTGATGGGCAAACTCCTGCACCTTTTCTAAAAATTTTCGTTTTCGCCCCCCGCGCCCCCAATTTCCTAGTGGCAGGCTGTGGCGCGACTTGTCGATCCGCCGACTGGCCTGAATCCTGCACCCCGCGGGCGCAGCCAATCAACATTGAGTCGGGGGCAGGGGGGCGCGCGTGGAAGTACTGGAATCAACATTTATTAACGAGATCTGGAGTACTGGACCTTCTCGCAACGGCGGCCTCCCTCGCGGCGACCCCGCGGCGGCGGCCTCCCTCGCGGCGGCCTCCCTCGCGGCGGCCTCCCTCGCGGCGGCCTCCCTCGCGGCGGCCCCAGCGGTTCCGGAACCCCTTGGGGGAACATTAGGGGGAGGAAGAGACAGGAGGAGGAGGAGAGGGAGGAGAGGGAGGAGAGGGAGGAGGGGGAGGAGAAGGAGGAGGATGATGACGAGGGGGAGGAGGAGGAGGAGGAGAGGGAGGAGAAGGAGGAGGAGGAGGAGGCCCCTCGCGACCCGCTGGCGGCCCCACCGGCAGGGGCGGGCGGCCCGTACCTCCTCGAAGGCGGCCTCCCTCGCAGCGATCTCGCCCTCGAGCCTCCTGCAGGGCCGCGGGGTGCGAGGAGCCCCTGGCCATCGCTCGGACGCCCATTCCCTGTGCTTTTTTTTTCGGTGTCGTGCGTGGCCTTTTCGCCGAAGGATCAAAAGGATGCTCCTCGAGGGCCCTCGCCGAGAAACAAGATGCACACGTCCGAGCGCTGCCAGCACTCGTGAGGGCAGCGACAGGTGGGGGGACCGGCTCAGGGAAAGAATGTCTCGAGGTCGGGGAAATCAGGTCTTGGACGCCAGAGTTATCCGGGGTAACTCGGGTCCGGGGTAACTCGGGTTCGGACTCCCGAAAAACGAACCCGAGTTATCCCTGACCCGAGTTATCCCTGATGATTCGGGGCTCTGGACGCCCGAGTTATCCGGGGTAACTCGGGTCCGGGGTAACTCGGGTTTGGATTCCCGAAAAACGAACCCGAGTTAGCCCTGACCCGAGTTACCCCTGATGATTCGGGGCTCTGGACGCCCGAGTTATCCGGGGTAACTCGGGTCCGGGGTAACTCGGGTTCGGACTCCCGAAAAACGAACCCGAGTTAACCCGAGTGATGAGCCCCTGACCCGAGTTACCCCTGATGATTCCTTCTTATCCGGGGTAACTCGGGTCCGGGGTAACTCGGGTTCGGACTCCCGGAAAACGACCCGAGTTAGCCCTGACCCGAGTTACCCCTGATGATTCGGGGCTCTGGGCGCCCGAGTCATCCGGGGTAACTCGGGTCCGGGGTAACTCGGGTTCGGATCCCGAAAACGACCCGAGTTAGCCCTGACCCGAGTTACCCCTGATGATTCGGGGCTCTGGGCGCCCGAGTTATCCGGGGTAACTCGGGTCCGGGGTAACTCGGGTTTGGACTCCCGAAAAACGAACCCGAGTTAGCCCTGACCCGAGTTACCCCTGATGATTCGGGGCTCTGGGCGCCCGAGTCATCCGGGGTAACTCGGGTCCGGGGTAACTCGGGTTCGGACTCCCGGAAAACGAGCCCGAGTTAGCCCTGACCCGAGTTACCCCTGATGATTCGGGGCTCTGGGCGCCCGAGTCATCCGGGGTAACTCGGGTCCGGGGTAACTCGGGTTCGGACTCCCGGAAAACGAACCCGAGTTAGCCCTGACCCGAGTTATCCCTGATGATTCGGGGCTCTGGGCGCCCGAGTTATCCGGGGTAACTCGGGTCCGGGGTAACTCGGGTTCGGATTCCCGAAAAAACGAACCCGAGTTGTCCCTGACCCGAGTTACCCCTGATGATTCGGGGCTCTGAAAGGAATGTCTCGAGGTCGGGGAAATCAGGTCTGCGGGCGTTATCGCTGGCGCCCAGCGGCTTTCCCACGTCGGGATGCTCTCCAGAAGCTGCGCCTCGCCGAGAGGCGCCCGGGGGTGCCCAAGTCGCTCCGGGCGGCCGACGGAGCCCAGCCATAGCACGCAAATAGGATGGCAGTGTACACCCTGCGAAATGCTTAAGAAATCATGGGTTAAGAAATTGATAATCTCAGAATTTAAATAAAAACCCAGAATGCCCATTCAAATCTTAGGATTTACATTGAAACGTTAAGAATAATCGAGACTCTGGCCGAAAACTTGGGTTTTCTTCAGCATCGCCTGGAGTGTAGGCCCCCGATATCAGAACCTCACGTTCCCGGGCGGGGCGGGCCATCAGGCCCGTGTCGGCGATGGATGGGTGATGGGGGGTCGCTGCGTGCCCGCCCGAGCTTCTCCTGCCCTGACGTCGCCGCTGATTGGACAACAGGCGGGGGGGGGATCGCACGGACCGACGAGGGGGGAACGATACTGGGATCGATTGGTCGCTTGGTATTTGGTTGGCTTGGGTATAATAAGTTTTAAAGGCGTTGGGTAGGTTACCTAACCTACTTACGAAGCGCGCTATCGGGGAGCAGCTTCTGCTGTTTCTAACGTAGTTTTATCCATTATGGCCGAACCGCCTAAACTGTTTATCAGAGTTTCAGTAATCAGGACAGGCGGCGGCTTAACCTGGTTATATGTTCTTGCCAAGCGCTGCAAGCGCCGACAAACAGCGCGGATTTGTTTTGCAATCGGCGTGTTTTTTTGTTTTTTGGTTTGGTGGCGATTTGTTTTTGGCGATGCATAATTGTATATGTTCTTGCTATTCATTGGTTTCGGATAGCATGCAGAACAAATGCGCGCGCGTATAAAACGTTTTGCTTTCCATGTATGCGTTCACGCGCACTTGCACGGCCTTATGGTCTGAGGGCATGGTGGTCTCAGGGTCTTATGGCCTTAGGGCCTTATGGCCGTAAGGTATTAGAGCCTTAGGGTCTTATAAGGCCTTTTACGGTCATATGGTCTTATGGGGCATTTGCGTCTTAGGGTCGTCGGGCCTTAGGGCGTTAGGGCCGTATGGTCTCAAGGTATTATGGCATTAAGGTCTTAGGGTATTCGGTAGGGTCTCAGGGTCTTAGGATCTTAGGCTTTTAGGGCCTTAGGGTCTTAGGGCGTTAGGGCGTTAGGGCAGTCGTGCCTTAGGGCCCTATGGTCTCAGGGCCTCCTACATGGTCTGATGGTCTCGGGGCCTTCGGGCCCTAGGGCCTTATGGCCTTAGGGTCTTTGGACCTTGGGGTACTAGGGTCTACAGGGCCGTAGGGTATTAGTGTCATATTGTATTACTTCCCCAAGGCCTTAGTGTCTTATGGTCGTAGTTTCTTAGGGTCATAGGGTATTCGGGCCTCAGGGTCTCAGGGTCTCAGGGTATAGGGCCTTATAAGACCGTTGGACATTAAGGCATTAGGGCCGTTCGGATCTTAGGGTCTCAAGGTCTGATGGACTTACTGCATTAACGTCTTAGGGTGTTACGGTCTTAGGTCGGGTCTTTGCGATGCATTGGCTTAGGATTTTAGGGTCTTCAGGCCATTGGGTCTCAGGGTCTCAGGGTCCTATAGGGTCTTAGGGTATCAGGGCCTTTGGGTATTAGGGTCTAAGGGCCCCAGGGCCTTGGGGCATTCGGGCCGTATACGGCCTTAAGGTATTAGGGTATTAAGGCCTTGGGGTATTAGGGTATAGTGGCTTAGTGCATTATGGTATTAGGGTCTTAGGGTCGCACGGTCTTAGTGTAGTATGGTCTTAGGGTCCATGGTCTTAGGGTCTTAGGTCGGGTCTCAGGGTCGCATGGCCGCAGGGTCATAGGTCGGCCCCCAGAGGCCCCCCTGAGGCACCCAAAACGCCCGAGAGCCCCCCTGTGCCGCCAAGGGACTGGGGAACTGATCCCTCCGTAGCGGGCGGCACGCCCATGTCGCCCGTTCATCTTCTTCCTCCTCTTCCTCCTCCTCTTGATCTTCCCCCTCCTCATCATCATCATCATCATCATCGCCCGTGCCCTTCCTCCACCACCCATCCACCCATCCCCCTCATTCGCCTTCTCCTCCTCATTCGAACAGTTCGGCTGTCCCCATATTTGCTCCCACACTTCCCTCATGGCATCAACGCGCATGGGCGTCGTCTCTGGACGGGCGAGTGGGGGCGCGCGAAGCGCCAAGAATATCCAGCGCGGCTGGGGGAATCCATAGTGCGGGCGCAGCTGGGGCCCAACGCGCGGCCGCGGAGGCGCTCCCCTAAAAGGCAGGGGGGCGGCGGCGATTCGCCGCAGGCGTCTTCGAAGGGAGCGATGGCTTGCTTCTGCACAGTCCAACGGGGAGGTACCATCCGAACAGTCCTGGCTGACAAACGCAGTTTGGCTGAGTGCGCGCCTGTGTCGCACCGCGACGCGGCGCTCAAGAGACGGCCCCGAGCCTCTCTCTTGTTGGCACGAGCACCTCTGAGACCTGGCCAGCCCTAGCGAAAAAAGAAATGCACGGATCCAAAACGCAGGCCAAATCAAGAAGTTCGGGGGATTCCCGAACGACGCAACTGACTTGCCGAGAGCTGGAGTGCAACACAGTCCACCTAGAAATGCAACACAATAGCCTGTCTTGCACCTTTGCGTGAAAATAAAGCTGTCCGTAGCCAACTCCACCGCCCTGGACGCGATAGCAGACCGTGTCTCCGCGCTGGACTATCCTGGACCGAATATACGCCGCTTTCGACGTCAGAATGCTGGCACTGACAGGCAGAGACAACTCCGAACGCAACGCGCGCTCCATCTTCTTGCTCGCCGTTCTCGGCTCAAGAAGATCAGAATGAACCAACGGATTGCGCAAATCGTAAAGGTGTTGAGCTGTCGCCTCCTCAAGGAGGGACTTGTTGAAAGACTTCGTGTTATGATGGCTATCAGAGAAGCGCTTGAGGACTCTGTGCTTCCTCTCGCAGAGGAAGCATCCCAACAGGAGCCCATGCTGCAAAAACTGGCGAGGCAGATGTATCGACCAATGGTGCTTCGGCTTCCAAAGGTCTTCACCCCATGCGCGGAGGTGCGCATTCAAAAACTTAAGTATTGCGATGCCCAGCATCACTGGATCTACAATCCCTGCGTTGGCGACGCTGAGGAGCTCGACGACGTCGCACAGGAGCAGCGCGCTCTCGATTTGCTCGGGGTACAACCCTGTAGGCGCAACGACGTCCCGAAGAAACTTCGATATCACTTGGCATGATGACATCTGCTCTGACGCGCTACCGCCTGGTGAAAAGGTCTTGTTGCCCTTGCAAAGTTTCTTGGCGTGCGCATACGCGCCTGGCCAAACCCACTGGCTCAAATATGCATCCCAAGCTTCGCCTCCGAGGCTGGCATTCTTCAGCAGGCTGGAGAGAGCGCGCAATTCTGTGATGTAGATGCCGTCGACTAAGAAGATGTGCATCCAGTCCCACGCCCACACACTAATAAGCCCTAGGTTGAGCGAGCCGTCCTGTAAGACCCCAGTTGGGAAAAAATTGAACCCCAATAAAGTTTGCTTCTCGCCGAGGCTCCCTGGGTCGTTGGCCGCGACTTCGGCTAATCGGAGTTGGATGGCCCGCACGGAATCGTCATCGTGATAATCGAACAAGCTCATGTCGACCGTGGTTGAGCTCCGCAAGTACCCGCTGGGGTCAGGTAGTAGAGAC